CTGCAGTAACTAATTTCCAGTGGTGTATTTCTGTCATTGCTTTGCAGACAGTAAATACAATTGACAGTTTGACTACCAGAAACAAGTGAAGGGGAAATAAAGCCCAATGAAATGATAATAGATCTTTTGATTCTTGCAACCATGTGTGTGGGTGTTGCAGATTTTGCTCAAGCATGTCATAGACAGGTGGGGGGGTGGCTTACAAGATGCTATTTTCAGAAAATAGGACAACCTGCCAAAACAGATAGATTTTTTGCCCGTTTTTCCCCATGTCCTAGTAAAGGAGTGGAGAAACACTAAACCCCCATTGAGAATTTTTGGAGGAAGAACTTTATCTGTTATTTATTAATCCAGGCACCGATCAAGGTCCAGGAGAGGAAATCTGTGCTGGTTCATCAATAATACTTGAGCACATACTTGCTGTTAATTGCATGTTCTGTTGGTTTCAAATCTAAGCCATGAGTGCATTGCTAAAGGGGGAGGTTTTCTGAGTCAGAGAAGATTAGATCACTTGGTGCATACTCTCCTGCTTTGGCTCTTCTGTGTCTGCTGGTAGAGTGGGACATGAGACAAGATGGGTCTTTGAGTCGGTTGGCTCTGACCATTTTTGTGCTCAAAGATCATCAGGTAGACTAGGCTGCTCAAAAAAAAAAAGAGGGACTGTAATTAAAAGCAAAACATGGCTTTAATATTACACTAAGGAAGTTCAAGAAGAAAAGGCAACTTCACATTTACGTGGAGAGAGCACAGCTTCTGCTCCCCCACGCACATGTAACAGCTGTAGCTTTGTTCAGCATGTCTGGCTCCATGTATTGTTTTCAGAGCAGGGGTAATTAGTGTCTGAAAATGTAGCTTCTCTTTGCTATTGTGGAACAATGTAAAAATCCTTTTTTTCAGTGTAAAACATTCCTGCCCTCCTCTGATCTTGTCAAACTAGACAATATAGCTGTCTTGTCATCATATTTCCCACTGCAATGGAAGGTTTGCCAAATGGTAGAAGAAACCTCAGAAGCCCTTAATTACTGTGACTTCATCAGTGAAACTTGACTGCCTTTGGTGGACTTGCTTCAGATTCAAGTGAGTTTGAGGGAATTCAGACCTGGATGGCTTGGCAATGGTGGCTGTTGTTTGCAAACAGACTCAGCAGGCAAAGGGGATGGTGTCAGTAGCAATGAGCAGCGAGGCTGACCTTAGCACTGCTCTGCTGAGTGGTGGGTGCAAGGTCACATTCCTGAGTCATCAGCTTTATTTCTGAATTAATAACAGTACTCAGTGCAATACAAGGCAAAAAGCACTGTCCAGCTCATTTTTGGAGGAACTTAAGGGGGAGAGGTTTTTCATCATTTTTTTCCCTAATTAGGTATATTTATTACTGAAGTGTTCCTTATCTGCACTGTCCATCAATCAGTGAAAATCACTTCTGCTAATGCAGCCCAACAGTATTGCTCAGATGCTGACAAAGTGCAAAGGGCATGATTGCAAAGGGTCACTCTTGGGACTCCTGATTTTGTTTAGGAAATGAGAGGCAAAGGAGAAAGGTAAGGGTGGTGCTGGAGATAAAAACAGCAGGACACTGGCCAAGACTGACTTGAACAAAAAGATGAGGTATAAAGAATGAGAGATAAGAAAAGATGAAAGAAGAATAAGTCACAAGGAACTAAAAGGCAGAACAGGTAGAACTGCATCAAAAGTGGGAGGCAGAGGCAGTTAATTTCTTGTGAGTCATCACGAAGCCATCCTGCCCCCAGAAAGGCTGACTTAGCAACATCAGTGGAAAAATCAGAGCTTTCCCTCTGAGATGCCATTCCAGATCAAAGAGGTTTCGATTAGTAAAACTGGATTTTCTGTCACTGATCTTCCCTTGCTTTAAAGAAACTTTTCAAATGCCTCTTGTGAAGTCAGCATCCACCCTAACCACCCCAGGGCTTGGCTCACTCACCTCTCTTTCCTGCCACGTGTCCTCTTCCAGGGCCTGAGTCATGGTCTATTTTGGGGCCCTTTGCACAACTGAGATCTCAGTTGTTTGGGCAGAGGTGAGGTGGCCACAAGAGGCACCAATTACTGCACATTCTCTTAGAGGCTAGGGAAATCTAAAAAGAAAAGCAAGTGAATAAAAACAACTTGATGGAAGAAGGCTCTGTGATCTGGAATCCCTGACAGATGCTTGGCCACAAAAGCACTGCTGGGAAGATGCGAGATGTTAGTATAATATATGAACATTTTCTCTGGCTGATGATTCAGAACTAAAGTACAGTCAAGCAAACGGGGAATGCAAAAAGGAAAGTGGTCTCAGTTGCTTTACCATGTTTCATAAAGGCTGGTGTGTTGTTGGTGATTAGACAGGATGGGGCTGTGGTGACTGAGGCCCATTGGAGGTGCAGTGGTGAGCAGCAACTCCTGGTCTAAAACTTGACAGAAGCATTCCTTAAGGTATTTCATCTTTGGTATGTGCAGGAGTTTGAACTGTTACTTACAACACCATGCATTGCTCAGTGTGCTATTTCAGGACTCCAGGGGAGAAAAAAAGCCCACCATCCTAAAGACGTGTTTTACACGATAAAATGCATGCAGAATTGCCTTGTTCTTTTTTTTTTTTCCCTCAACACAATTGCATTGTATTTAACGTAGCTCAGCTCAATTCCACAGTGTCTGTGAAAGCAATGTGAGGGCCAGAGCAATTCTTTAAAGCCTATTTGCAGTGTGAGGTGGTAACATAAAAACGTGGAGCTCCCACCATCCCAGCAAAGCCTGGCTTTCCCAGCGAGGGGCCAAGCCTTTGCACTGTGCTCAGCTGGAAAAGGATGTGTTTGTATGTGAACATTATGTGATTCTTTATTGAAAAAGCATCCTTTTCCAATATATAGGAGTATGGCAGTGGGGGAGACGGTAGAATTGCACCACCACAACAGCAGCAGGGCCCTTCAAAGGCAGCTGTGGCACCTGAGCGTGGCTGTTTAAACGCGGCAAATGTGGTCACTTATTTAAGAACCAGAAAATGCTACTTAAGCATTTGGTGGTTTGAGAGGGGAAAAGAAAAAAAAGAATTAAAGCCCCCAACCTTGACGGCCTTTGTGCTGAGTTGCAAAGTCTGGGCTGACAGGGAGACCCTGGGTCTGTCAGTGGCTGGGAGCACGGGGTGGTCCCCAGCCCTGGCTCTGCACACCATCGCAGGTGTCCCATGGGCTGGGTGGGAGGTGAAACATGGCTTGAACCCAGCTGCAAGCCCTGGAGAGGAGACCTGAAGAGGAGCAGGAGCGCAGCCTCTGGCTGCACAGCACTGCATTCCCCTGGGGAAAGAGGGATGGGGCCAAACTTCTTACTGATCCAGAGCCCCGCAGAGGCTGTTGCTGTTTTCAAGGGGTTTTGAGTCAGGTTCCTGGTTTCATTCTGTGTCAGTACAGCACCCAAGCAGCTGTGCATGAGGGAAGCAGAGAAAGCTTTGTTATCAGACCATGCAAATCATGCATTTCAAATCTTTCCATAATCCTGCTGATGGTTAAAACAAAACCACTTTCTCTCCACGCTTCAAAATTGGCATGAGAGTCACTAGGAAATCTTCCTTCCCCTATTTTCCCCTTCTTTAGGAAAGAACAATAAGCCCTGGCAAAAAGTGTGCATGCAGTGGTGCCAGGAAGCTTTGAAACCAAGTCAGGAAACTCTCTGATCATGAACATTAGAGTCTCTCTCGTGTTCACTTTTCATCAGACTTTGCTGGGTTCATAGGGGAGGCGACTCAGCTGCTGCTCCTCTCCACAATCTAGGCAGATGAGTTTCTTGTTTTCATCCCACTACTACTATAGCGACAGAAGCTCAGGGAAGAAAATGCCTGAGGCAAATAAACGGTGTTATTCATCAACCGCTGATGAAAAGGTTCTGCCTACACGTTCGAGTACATTTGGTTTGGACCAGAAAAAGCAAAAGTCACGCAATCCTCCAACGTCCATTAATCCATCTTCTGTGATTTCTACTGTGGGTACTTTGTTTTCCTCTGGGGACCTAACTTTTTATTTAGTCATATATTCATGGCTGCTGCTGCCGTTGGCTTGCTGTTGCTCACATTAATTGCCCTTCAGCAGAAGAATGTCTCCCAGAAGGCCTCATCCTTTCTCTGCACCAGATCATAACTTCTTTAATTGCTGCTGTTAACTTGCTGCTGACTTCATCCCCTCCACTTGCCCTGCACAGAGCAGAACAGTGTGATCTCTCATTGGGCCCCATGTCCCCAGTGATGCTAATTGGGCCTGCCAAAGTACCCCCTCCAAGCATACCCTTTCTCTTTCTGAATCAGAAATTAAAATTATTACAGCGAAAAAGGGTCTGGCAGGGGCTGCCAGACAGAACCATAAATCCATTAGCTCGATCACTGATGGCAAACGGTGCATGAGTACAAGGTTAGGGCTTTGATTGCTTAAACAAGGGCATGTGGCCTGTTTCTTTGACCCAAGTTGTGTATTTCTGACGCAGCTTGGTTTTAAATGCTTTTAATGTAGAAGCACTTTGTGGCTCACAGCCCTGTGGGCTAACAGCCACAGGTAGCTGTGCACTAGGCAATTTTACACAAGGAAGTCATGAACTTCCAAACATGGGTATCTCCTGGGCTTAGTATAGAGGATAAGACCTGTTTTCTGCCACACTGATTGTAAGAATTCAAGAATCAAATTGTTTCTCATGTTATCCTTTTTCAGTTGTTGCCATGGCAAAGCCCCAGAGAGGAAGGGGGGTTGTACCAAACCATTGGAACATCAACTTTTCTCTGAGATTAACAGATGTGTTCAGGTCTTCAGTCTCATTTAGATGCTCACATGGAAGTAACTTCATGAGTATGAGCAGCTCTGAAGAAGACAGCCCACAAGACTACTTAGAGGGTCAATTCTTCAAGCAGGAGATCAGTGTGCATCAGGGATGAGATAGGGAGACAGAGCAAATGTATTTATATCTTTATTCAGGTAACAGTTTCCTTTTTCTATACTTCATCTGCTGTTCTTTGGGATGTTTTCCAGGTTGCATCAAGTGAATTTCGATGCTCCCACTTGTGAAGGCAAGCACCGAGAAAAGCTCTCCTTGATAGGGGACTTCTCCTCTTCGGCAGAGTTCTTTGTCACCATTGCAGTCTTTGCCTTCCTCTACTCACTGGCCGCCACCGTGGTTTATATCTTCTTCCAGAACAAATACCGTGAAAACAACAGAGGGCCTCTAATTGTAAGTGTACATTTGCAGCGTTTTCAGGCATAGGTCTTAACCTCTTGCTTTTTTGGTGGTTGAGGCTGTGGTGTGGTCTGGGAAATCCAAATGGCCCAATGTCCAAAGCATCTCTGCATTCTCCTGGTTTTTTTAATCTTAATGGTGATTTAAACTTTTAACATCAAGGGTAACAAAAACTATATGTAGGTGGCGCTTAGTCCTAACCTTGTATGTACTTGTGGGATTCCCCACTTGTCTCCCACTGCCTGCAGTGATGATGTTCACACAAGTAATGGACATGTTGCAGAATTGGGGTCCAAGCCATAAAGCTGTGACAGCAGAGCTTCTTCGGTGGGGACAAAAGGGAAGAGGAGATCTTTGGCATCATCCTAGCAGATAAATGAGACCATGTCCCTGACCAAAGCCTAGCCAGGAAGATTTCTATTGCTAGTTACTGCTGGGTTGAGCCGAATTATTTTGCTTTGGAGAATAATTTCACTGGTTTTCCAGTATTACCCTGAGCTCCTAGCATAATTATGACTCTGCGCTGGTTTATGAGGCTCCTCACCTTCCAGGTATCTTTCAATGCACCATCAAGCTGTGGGCATTTGTGCCTTTATTTTTCTTTTTCCTGATTCCTGAAGGCTTGTGGTAAAATTTCAAGTGCTGCTGTGCATTTGTTTTCTTATAAATCAAGATTGTAAAGCCAGTGAGAGCTATTTTGTTCTAGATGTCCATTACCTGTGAGTGTACCACGTGCAGTGATACACCCCCTGGTCTTGCTGGGCAGCTGTGTGCTGATCCCTGCGCTGGAGCTGGGTCAGGTCTCTGCATCTGCGGGACGTAGGGATGCCTCACACTCTCCCTTCCATGGGCAACTCTCTTCTCCATGTCTGCAAGGATAAGGTTACACTAAGGTAGAGGAGATACTTCTCTGAAATCTTGGTGTAATGAGAGCAATCCAAAGGGAAGGTGGGGGGAGTTTGGTGAAGACCGGCGCAAGGAGAGTTAGTTCTGGATTTCAGAAAAATCTAAGGTTTATTACTGTCAGAAAACAGATATTTGGCTGAGACTTGTGCCTTAAGTGACTGAAAGCCACCAGTAAAGAGCATCAGAAAGACATAACAGAAAGGAAAATAAATCACCAGGGCAGAAAGGCTGTACCTGTTAAAGGAAATAACTACAGTAACAGTAAGTAAAAGATTATACTGTAGCAAGGTAATCTTAGCATCACAGGTTTTTGAGGGAAAGATTTTCCTGCTGCAATGAGATGTGAGTTGTTTTATTTAAGTTTGCATAATTCAAAGCTGATGAATTGTTACAGAAGGAAAAATTCTCATTCCACATCAAAGGAAATGAATCCTCTTCCTTTGGGGGTTATTAGGACCTTTCCTCTCTCCCTAGAAAATGGTGAGGAAAGGAGGGGAAATCTTCATAAGGGAGAGATGCAACAAGCAAGATAAAGGGGTCTCTACAGAAAGAGTAAATAAATAGTGCCTCGCTTCTGCTTGATTCAGTTGATGTCAAGTAATATATAATTTCAAACTGCCTCATCAAATAATTAGTTTCAGAGATCTGCCATTTTTATGTTCTTGAGGAAAATAATTCTTTCTTCTGACCAACCACATTATCCTGTGTAGCAATAGAAAAAGAGAAGAGAAGAAATAGTACTAATATACCAGATTATGATGTGGCTGTTTGCCATCGTCCAGGATTTTCCTGATACAGCTGCTGCAGTCACATTTGTCACAGGATGCACAGTGCAATCCACTACAGCATTAATGTGGCACTGATTTAATTTGTTCTGTGTAATGGATTGTAATTAAATCTACATGTTAAATTTAACCAGTGTCTGTTACCAAAGCCTCCGTTTATAATTTCCCGGTCTTTAAACCAAGCTTAAATGACTTTATCTGTTCAGAATATAATGATGTTTCTGAGTTTGTCCTACAGCAGAAGCAGCTCCTGCTGGTGAGTGCTGTTGGACGTGGCTGAAGGTTATGCTCAGTATATGCCTGCCAGGAGGGGAGTCCTGTCTGCCCCAGCCACACACTCCAGCATCTCCTTTGCACTGCCAGCTCTGTTGTGTTGGGTATTTTTAGAAAAAAAAAAAAAAAAAAGCCTTTTTCACCTGGACCACATCTTTGCTTGTCTCCCCTGAGGCTGCCCGGTGCAATGATTGCAGCACAACAGCCTGACTGGGTCATGGTGTGAGTCCTACTGTGCAGTGGAGATGCAGAGAAAATGCAGAGCCCCAGGCAGGGAAAAAGCAAGCAGCTGTAGCCAGGAGGAATTCAAGGGTCAAGGGAAACTCAGAGTGAAAACCAGCTTCCCACGGCTGCGGGCCTCAACCAAGGGATGCAGCGCCCTGTGCAAAGGAGGCAGGCGACGCGTCCTCCAGCTCCAGGCAGATGCTGCACTGAGCTGACGTATCCAGCAAGATCACACGTATATCAGATCAGATGTGTGAGTATGTCTCATCTCTGAGATTGTTCATCCCAAAGACAAGTGCTGCAGAAATCTGAGGTGCTTTGTGCACGCCTGAGTCCAGCCAGCAGTCCCCAGCACGTGTCGGTGCAGGAGGCTCCTTCTTTGTCACCAGGTGGGATTGGTGTGTCAGGCACCATTTCCAGACTACCATTTTTTTACCTCTTAGTGAAGAGTTAGATGATGATAGTTTCATCTGTCTTTGCTTCTGCTGGAGTGCCTGATCAAAATTTCATATTTAAAACCATTCCCATTTTAAGCCCTGTACTTCCTCTTGGCTTGATATTTGCTCAGTCTGGGATGACATCTGCCTTTAAGCAGCACCTTCTCAGAGCTGGCTGCCTTTCCTCCTGACAAATTTTCAGGATTTGAAAAATGAGTGTGACAGGAGAAGTGGAGAAAGTAAAAAAAAAAACTTTCACTTGAAATTTAAAAATATTTTTTCAAAAAACCCTTGCACAGGCAGTCAGAGCACCATTAATGCATTACCAACTTGCAGTGGCCTGACTGGATGCAGAGTATATGATTATAAAGAATTTAATGACCACTAAGTCACGTGAAACTCTCAGAGAAAATTTCAGTCACAAATGTTTCAAGGTTACCTTGTTTTTACAGATATAGGGAAACCCAACTGCATGTACTGAGATCTCATCAAAGTGCCACTTTAACTGTAGAAAAATATTTTAACGCTCAGTGTGAAGTGAGATATCATGGCAAGGAAATATTTCCAGTAGGAGAGGCCGTTTACTCCTTCCACAGCTGTTTGGATGGCACTGACTTGTTTTATCCACTGTTCAGTAAGCCATGTCTGTTACTAACGTTGCCTGTCAGGTTTTGGGGATAAAATTCTCCCATTTGGTTGCACAAGGCCCTGGTTGTGTTACTGATCTGTGATGGAGGTGGGAGTCTGCCCTTCCCAGCGGGCTAGCAGCAGCGGGCCCTTGCCATGTGTGCCCTCCACTTGCCTTGCTGCTTCCACGGAGAGATCATTCAGCAGGGCTTATTATAGATAGATAAACCTCAGAGGTGACCTTGGATTCCCAATTCCTAAAGGAACAAGGAGCAATTTACCTGGGATTAAATACCTAATAGGCATGTGCAACGTATTTGAGCTCTGCAAACCACAGCTGTGATTTTAATTTCGTTGCAAACTCCCGCCTGATGCATGTGTACAGCGAGGAGCTGGGGGCATTGCTGGTTTGCAATAAAAGCGGAGACGGGCTGCACCTGGGACTGCCACCCCAAGCACCTCTGTCTCGATGCCCTGCTTCAGATCTGTATGTTTGCAGCTGCTTGCAAGCAGAGAGTAACCAACTTAACCCTTAGCCCTGGGCTAAAGTTTTAGGGGATCAGGGGTAGATGCTTCCATGTATCTCTCAAGTGGGAAAACGAAGGAAAGGCTAGTCATGGTCAATGTGTATCAGTACCCGTCACTCAGATTTCTTACTTTTTCCGTAGTTTCTATACCCCCTATGTACTGTACTCCATTTAAAACCCATACTCTTCAGATTTGTATGTGGGAAGTTATAGATCAGCCATGAAAAAACACATATATTCATGTATAAAAGTAAATCACTTTATTAGTATTCCAATCAATTAATACAAAAGTATAAGATTATTTAGCCAAAAAGAAGTGACTGACATAGCCCCAAAAAGAGATATTTAATTTTTATAGTGATTACTCGATAATGTAATTCTTACAGTGCATAAAGATGCTTACATGTAAGAAGATGAAATCATTCCTTTGCATCTGTAGTTCTGTGAATAACCACATTAAGCAGAAAGGCATTTGCTTCTTTACATATGTTGTGGACCAAGTGAGTTAAGTACACTCCTAGTCTGCCCTTTTGAGTTGTCTTTGATTAAACATGTTTTATTTCCTCCCTTTTGTCCAGCTTTCTAGAAAATAGATAGGAAAAAGAGTCATCTGTAAAAACAAAGACTGAATCCTTTGCAGTTAAAAAAATGGAATTATGAATAACCTGACTAGTTCTTTGCATTTCAAAGAGCTGCTTCAGCCTACTGTGGTCATTTCCTTTTTGAAACATAAGCCGTGGTGATCTTGCTGTACACGCTGGTGCCTCCCAAAGGGCTCTGCATGTCCAAGCCAGAATCAAGCTTGCAAGGCCATACAACATTGCAAGAAGCACGTAAATTCTTTCAAAGCTTCATTCAGCAGAAAATTTTGGGTGGGACCTTGTTCAAACCAAGAAAGATGCCACTGTAGGAGGGCGTTTGCTGCCTGCAGCAACCTGCTGTTGGCTACTTTCCTGGGCTGGGGCCAGGGCTGTGGCTCTTGCTGGGTTGGTTCTTGAATTTTTAGGTTGGCTGTGGTGGTGAAAACAAATCCTCAGAGTGGTTTGCCCCTTCTGGGGTAAAGAAATCTCCCTCTGCTCCTGCGCGGCTGTCCGTGGAACCCTATTGTCAGTGTTGCTGGGCTGGACAAGCTCTGGCTGGGAGGGTTTATAGGCTTCAGCGTTTGAGGAGTTGCTCCCTTTTATGCTGTAAATGTACAAGAGAGTTTTGTCGAATGAAAAGGTTTTGTAGCATGAGCATTAGTGGATGGAAACACTTCAGGCGAGGCACTGAAAGCCCTGTGTGGAAGACAGTTACGGGGTCAGCAGCTGTGCTTCGGTGAGGGAGGAGGGAGCGGGAGCACGGCAGGGATGCCAGGTGCCCTCCAGCCAGGCCAGAGCTCAAGTGTCGCACAGTTTCAAACTTAACAGCCCAGGGCTGTGTCCTGGTTTCAGCTGGGATAGAGTTAATTCTCATTTAGTAGCTGGTACAGTGTGTTTTGGATTTAGTGTGAGAATAACGCTGAATACAGGCTGATGTTATAATTGTTGCTAAGTAGTGCTTATCCTAAGTTAAGGATTTTTCAATTTGCCCATGCACTGCAAGTGAGGAGGTAAACAAGAAGCTGGGAGAGCATGGCCAGGAGAGCTGACCCAAACTAGCCAAAGGGATATTCCATACCATAGAATGTCACACCCAGTATATAAGTTGGGGGGAGATGTCTGGAAGGGTGGATCGCTGCTTGGGGACTGTCTGGGTGTTGGTCAGCAGGTGGTGAGCAATTGCATTGTGTATCACTTGGTTTTGTTCTTTTCTTCCTTTGGTTTTATTTCTGTCACTTTTTTTATATCCCTTTTCATTACAATCATAATGATTATTGTGGTTTATTATTATTATTTTTAGTTTAGTTATGAAACTGTTTGTATTTCAACCCACAAGTTTTACTTTTTTTTTTTTTTCCCGACTCTCCTCCTCATCCCATTGGGGCGGGGGGAGGAGAGAGCGAGTGGCTCCGTGGTGCTTAGTTGCCAGCTGGGCCCAAACCACAACAGATCATTGTGCCAAACTTGGACCACGGTGGCTGGGAGGGAGAGCAGTGCACAGAGCGTGCACGGGGACACGTGTTGCAGCGCTCCAGGGGTTGCTGAAGCCACCAACCCACTCAGAGCAGTCAAAACGTGTCCCCTTTCCCAGCGAGCAAGCAGGTTCTGCAGATGCTTTTGGCTGGGTGAGATTACACTGGGCGATCTAAAACTGTGCTTGGGAGACTTAAGCAACTGTAAGTGGCTGCCCCCTCCAAAGGCAGGCATTTTGCAAAAGTCAGTGTCTTGATAGCAAGGAGAAATGTTTCAGTCACCGTGAAAAGAAAGGCATTCACAGTTCTATTCTAAAACATAAAATATATAAAATTGTTCCAAGTAAGCATTTTTGGCAAACTCAGTAATAGCAAGTTTCAGCTTGAAAAAGGCAGCAAGAAATATTTTTTTTTTGTTACACATACTTCAGGATCTTAAAAACTCCCTCCTTGGATATTCAGCATATTTTAAATCTTGTTTTCTGCTTTCTCCTACATGTTCTTATTTTGCCTCCCTCCCAAAGGCACCTGTAGGCAGACCAAAGTATCTCAGCTGAGATCTGAGAAAGAAACTTCGCAATTAGGAGTATAGCGTAACTGTACAACAATACACACCGAAGAGATCTGTAGACACCATTTCAAGACGGCAACTACAAAAATTACTTTGTTCCAAAGGAAAAAAAAAAACAACCACCCATGCTATGAGGATATTAAACATTCAAATGCAAGCTTTGTTTTAGTATGCAGACACTCTGGCTTTAATTACCAAGGAGAAATTCCCCAGATAGACATTAAGCCACAGAACAGCTTAGCTTGAAATTCACTTTTATTTTCAGCATGTCATTATCTTGTAACTCTGTTCCACCCAGAGCTGTGAAAATGTTCAGCCAGAAATCCAAACCCACTTGAAAACAAGAGGTTCAAGTTCCAGCCAAAGCTGAAGGTTAGCAAAGATTCAAAATAAATAGGAAGACACAAGTTTGCTCTAGTCATATATTTTGCTCCTTGCACAGCACAGAGGAGATGGAACATCCTCCAAGAGCCCGAGTTCGGCCATGTAGCCTTGGTGAGAGCACCTGCTGAAAAAATCCTGGTGTTTCATTAGCCTTTCTGTCCTGTCTCTCTGACAAGCTGCTGGTCAGCTGCGTGGTTTCTTCTCCGAGTCCCACTGGGCCATCTTGCCCTTTTGGCTCGCTGTGTTTCTTGCACCCAGCCAGACTTTACAGATTTGGGGAGTTCCTGTATAAAAGGACTGATCCCAGGAGAGGGGACCCTTTCCACAAGGCTCTGATCTGCGCTCAGATAGGGGGATTTGTGGCAGAGAGGGCAGGATCCGGCAAGGTTAGGCTTGTGTGGACACCCTGGTGCAGGGGAGCAGAGGAAGTCGGCTGGAAGATGGGGTGAGATGGAGAAGACAAGACCTGAGAAATAACCTGAAATACTTAGTCCCTTTAGGACCAGCCCCTCAACTGCACAGTGCTATTGGATGTTCCTAGCAGTACTTTAGAGCCCAAGACATAAGCTACTAGCAATTAGAATAAGGGACTCTTGCAGATTGCAGTCATTTGTGCCAGGAGTTGTGCAGATGCCTCAGCAACATGGGGTCAGGATCTGTGAGCTCGACAGCAGGTCTGAACCCCTGCTGCTGTCACCTGCCCAAAGAACTTTGCTCACTTTTAAAACTTCCTTCTTTTTAGCAAGTTTAAGCTCCTACATTGTGTTAGTTTTGGTCAGTTTGTTTGCTTCAAATTTCTACCTACCGTTATGCATTTATTTCATTGTTATCGCCAATGCACTGATTGCAGAGTTTGATTCAACTTGCAAAATCTAAAAGTGTGGTGGCATTGAGAGAGAATTGCTTGTCATTTTAAAAATGTATTCCTCAAAACTCTGGTGTGTCCTTGTCTACTGTGTCAATCAGAACCTATTATGGGGGCTTGGCATCCAGGTAGGTAACATGTTAAGCCTCGTAGCAAGTAAGGAGCATATCCTATCATTATCCACAGCTCAGTGAATATCCGGCGTTTCTACCAGTTGGAATTTTTAGGAAATGTTTGCAATTGAACTGTTGCCTCTGGGAGTCCATTTCTCACTCAGTTACTGCTAGGACATATAAGATACAATAATTTATTTTGCTGAAAATCTCCCTGAGAAGAAAAAACTACTCTGGGCTAAATGCCTCTGCCTACCCAGAGTCTCTGGGTGTTCAGATAGTTGTCAGCTCCTGGGCTTCATGCTCTTCAGGAGAGCCCATTTGGGCAACGTGAAGGGAGGTCAGAGAAACTCAAAGCTCAGTGTTAGACATGGGCCTGCAGAAAACAAATTGTGGCACTGTTAAAAGAGGAGGATGTATCCTTTGGGAAAGCATCCAAGCACAGTTAATTTAATCCCATCTGCATGAGCAGAGAAATCCTTTGTTCGTGACTCGGTTGTGCGGCTGGCTTATTGACTGGTGCCTCTTCCATCGTGATGGAGGCTCGTGTCCTCCGTCCCTGCCGTGCCCCGGAGAGCTCTTTCCCCAGATGTCACATGTGCTTGTAGAAGAGTAGAATGGTGTTTCCTGGGGATCAGTTACTTCTTTGGATAGCAACCCAAAACACTGTATTCTTAATAAACATTTTCTCTTCCTTCCATGTACACCTTTACTTTGTAAGGGGGAAGGGGAAGCGGCCCCCATGGGAGGTGGGATATCAAGACGCAGCAATGCAGTTAGTGGTATGTTAGACTTTGGCACCTCTACCATCTGTTGTGGGCTGACAGATGGGATGAAATATGACAGCAGAAAGGCTCTTCTGTTTTAGCAAGACACAAGAAAGCTTGCAAAATCACACCTCCTCCCTCCTTTCCCCCCAAACCCACACAACAACAGTGTCACTTGGCCACTTGTTCTGGCTAAGACAAGGAGAAGTTTATGCCTGTGTGTGCTCCTGAGAGTCTTTAGAGGGAAAAGTGAGCAGAGTGGTTCAGAGCAGAGCTGCTCGGAGGTGCTGGATCCTGGAGGGACCGCCATCCCTTCTCTCTTTTCTCATGGATGGAAATTAGGAACAAATGCTATACCAGGACAGAGAGGAGCTGGGGAGTCTCTGTGCTTGGCAAGTCTTGCTGTTTATTTGTTCACTTGTGATAATTAGTGGCTGCACGGCTTGTGCAGCAGGGACATTTGGCCTTACCTGTAGCTGGTGAGAAAACTCCTCATCTGGTAGCTGAGGATTAGCCAGTTTGAGGTTCTCTCTGAGAATGTGCCACAGACGGAAACGCTTCCTATCAGAAACCCACCCTGGCTGTCTGTAGGAGCACACGAGGTGAGAGCCAGCCCTCGGGAGGGCCCAGCCCCTTTCCAAGCATCTATATTTTTTAATTGATCCCAATTCATCAGCCAGGTGCTGTGACCAGCCACATTTCCAAGGCAGCCTAGCATCCTGGGTGCCGGCCACACGCCTGTGGGAATCTGGCCCTGATGTCAGAGATGCAAATGACAGCAGAAGGGCTCTGCCCCGTAAGACACCTGAAGCACTTCTGAAAAGTAACTCTAAGTGATGACAGTAATCACAACTTTCCACGAAATAACAAGCTCTTGTTTTTTCTCTCCTCTGACACAAGCTTTCAGTTTTCTGGTGATTTTTAATATTTTTTCTTCCCAACGGACACACCAGTATAATGCTTCTAACTAATTTGTCTTTTAGGATTTCATTGTGACAGTGGTCTTCTCATTCTTGTGGCTAGTGGGCTCATCTGCTTGGGCTAAAGGACTGTCAGATGTAAAGATTGCAACCGACCCAGACGAAGTGCTGTTACTGATGTCTGCCTGCAAACAGCAGTCCAACAAATGCTTGCCCGTTCACAGCCCTGTTATGTCAAGCCTCAACACTTCGGTTGTGAGTGACTTTGATTACTACTTTTCACCCTTACCTTGCAAACGTATTTTCATCTCTTTTACCCGTCTATTGGCCTAAATTGGCTGGTGTAAACCAGTTAGCTGAAATAATTTAATTGGAAGTATAGTCTTGCTTCAGGGAAAGGCAGAGTGTGACTCATGACAGCTATCTGCTGGGGAGCAGCGGTGGGATGAGCATGCAGGGTTGGACATGGAGAAAGCAAAGTGTCTGTCCAAGTGCATTGGTTGGCCTGTCTGCTTTTAACTTGCTAACTGCAACGCTTTTGAAGAGGGGTCTGTACACTCCTTTAGGAAGAAAAGAGGGTTTTGCCTTACAGATTCCTTTGAAAATCCTCAGGAAAACCCAACATAAAATTGGTCTTCAGAATGTTTAAAAAAAAACCAAAACAGCCAACTGACCAAAAAACTAAAAAAACCCCAAACAAACAAACAAAAAGAAAAAACTCATAAACCCTCCAGGCCAGCTGACCCATTAATATCTCTCTTTTTAATTATTTTCTTTCAATTTTATCTTTCCACAGCTTCTTTAAACTAGATTATGTTTTCAAACAAAAAAATGTTTTGGCCTAAAAGATCAACCTATTTTTGGAAGCAAAAAGGATAACAGATCCCTTATGAGCTACAGATAAGGGAGGTGAATTTGGGAATTTGCTCCAAAGCTGAGAAAATTGTCCATCAGGTTTTGGGAGAAGGATGGACTGAGAGCAGCTTTGACTTCTCCCAGGACCGTGCAGGGTCCATAACATTGGGCTGGGCTGTGAGACCACGGCTGCCAGGTGACGAGCTCCTCTTCTCCCCACCTAGGTCTTTGGCTTCTTGAACTTTATCCTCTGGGCAGGCAACATTTGGTTTGTGTTTAAGGAGACGGGCTGGCATTCCTCGGGCCAGCGGCACCCTCCAGACACCATGGAGAAGCAGTCCAGCAGCTACAACCAAGGTGGCTACAACCAAGACAGCTACGGGCCAGCCGGTGGCTACAACCAGCCAGGTTCCTATGGCCAGGTGGGTGAATATGGCCAGTCCCAGAGCTATGGCCAGAGTGGGCCAACCTCCTTTGCTAATCAAATTTAGGGTTCACGCAGCACAAGCTCTTGTATCCCTCCCGTGTAGAGAGTTTAACAGGTCTCAAGTTTCAGCAGCACCAGATTTTTAAGGGTTTTACATAAATTAATACTACAACATGGTGTTTAATGTCAGTTGAAGATCTAAGCCTACCTCCTGAGGCAGATGGGAGGTGGCCAGTGGGCTGGAGTTGGCCTTTTTTTCCCTGATTCGCCAGATACAGGGGATGTGCTCATCGCACGTGAAGACCTGGAGTCAATGTTGTAGTATGTACTGTAGAGATAACTTTATGGTAGTTTTGTATGTGTTAAGATGGTAGAAGCATTTTGTAGCCTCAAGTCTGTAGTATTTATTATGCATAATATAATTGAATTTCCTTCTGCATTTTGGTGAAAAACAAAAGTGTTTTACTATTATTTCTACAAATTAATCTGTATATCCATGCATGTAACATTGCACCTAAATTTTCCGAACTGCCTGTCTGTGACTCTTCAGATCATTTGTTTTGGTTATACCTTTTTGTTTCAGAAAATTTTACTATTATTTCAGTTAACTGTGTCATCTGTAACTTAGTGCATGGATAAGCAGTTTCATACTACCAAATGTCTGGACTGTGTAAATGGAAATTCTCAACTTCTGCCACTACATTTTGTTAAATGTATGTTTAAAAGAAGTATGCATCTTTTATATATTTTGCAGAGTTGAATATATGGCTTACTCAAGTTCTGAATGCTTTGTAACTACAATGTTTTTCCTTGAAATGGCATTCAGTAGTATATATGGTACCTGACCAATGTTTATTCCATTTAACTCAGCTAAGTATTCATTCTATAAATCACTATTTCTATGGATGTTTTGTGAATCTTTTAATGTGAGCTGTGGAGAATAAGGACCAAGTAACTGTGTTATATGTTTACAAAAGTATTTATTTAACTAAGATAACAGAGGTGCAGATATCAGTATACAAAACCATGTGAAAATGCCCTGTTGCTTAATATAGCAAAACATGAAAACCACATGTATTGTTGTGACCTTACAATGCATAAATATCCCTTTTTACCCTCTTATAATAAGAAAACCTTTCTATCTGTGCTGTGTCAAGATTGTTAGATATCCCTCTGTTCTGTCGCTGCTCTGAGCGCTAGCTTGGTGCCACTGGAGAATGTAACTGGATTGACCAAATAACCCAGGCTCAGAGGAACTCATCCTAAAATAGCCAGACCCAAACTTTTAGCCCGTTCAGATTTCTCCCTGGGAAATGCAGCCCTCCCTCACTATAGCATATGGGATGCGTTGAGACAAACAAAAGCCTGAAGCACAATATACTAGTCAAAACTGATCATCTGCATTTCTAAATCAAAGTGTATCGGTATATAATCTTATTGTATGAGCTGTAATGTTGAAAGCATCTTAGCTTAAAACAGCTTAGTCTCTTCTATGATTGTTGTAACCAATTTATGGCTACTCAGTGGATGAATCTATATTGTGATATCTATTTGACCCTAATAAAGTTATTGCATACAATGCATGTTTTCAGAGTATGTTAATATTAAAATGTCACTGCAAAATAACTAAGATAACTATTAAAGGTAAATAACTATTCTATGCTTGACCTTATTGGTCATATTCTTGCTGTTTTCCAACACTTTTATGAGGATGTTTTTAATGTACAGGGGTGTATGACACTTCTACAGACACTTGTCATTAAAGGTCAGTATCACAAGTTAAAAAAAAAAAAAAATTAAAACTGTTCTAATCTAATATCTGCCTGCCTCTCTACCTCTCGTTCCACCTGTCAGTAGGACTAGCCCAGTACTGTACTAACTAGCTCAGTTCTGTGAACTGCTGGAAAGTCATGTTTGAGCTGTAGAGAGGACAAATTGGAATGTCTAAGTGTCCTGGTATTCCAAATGGGAGCAAATTACAGTTTTCTGAGTCAATGAAAAGTGTTACTTTGGTTCTCAATTCTTTTGTTCCATGTTTGGTTTTGATTTGGGTTTGTTGTTGTTGTTGTTGTTTGCTTGTTTATTTTATTTTGTTTTGTTTTGTTTTTAATTTGGAAAAAGTTAGATATAGGCAAGCCAAGAGAAACTGAAACCTGTGTGTGTGACAAAGGATGGAGTTGGGATGTACGCTTTTCATGCCTCTTCCCACGTAGTCCTACTTCTCTTATTTTTTTTCATTTATTTATTTATTTATTTATTTATTTATTTATTAATCCAATTTGTATTAATTAATCAGGAATATCCCAAACTGGTTCATCTCAGCCTCTCCACTAGAAATAGATAAGAGTTTTTTGTGTCAACTAGCTTTCTCTTTATGAACTTTTCCACCCAGATCAGCAGGGTCCCAGTTCCAAGCTTTTCTATCCAATGCTGAGGGTTAGAAACTTGAGTTTTACTGAGGTTTATTCCTGTATTTCAAAGAAGCGGAAATTCTTGTGTAACCATGTAAGCACAGGAACTGCAGCTTTCAAACCCTCAGGAGTTGACACCCATGCAGAAAGGGTAGTTTATGATACAAGATTAGGGAGAGAATTAAGATGATGGCTTATTTTGTGTATTATTTGCATAACACCAAATCGAAGATTTTCTCATGAAGGGCAGAGCTGGTGAAAGAGTTGACAAAAGCAGTGAGAGAAGCACATGTTTTCATTAAAAACTTGCCCTTTGCTTTACCCAGTTGGCCAGATCTTCACAGGTACGTGAGCTCCTTGCTGCCATGCAGAACTGCTGAGCTGGTTGTTATCCTCTGGGGACTATAGTCTCCGCTGTGAATTAGGAGGGATGAAGAATCTCTTCATCTATAGCTTCTTAGATTAATACAGTATGGCAGCAGCAAAAGTGGAAGCAACAATGATGCATGCAATTGTCTGTGTTATATAAGAAAATGTATCTGAATGTTTTCTCCAATGTTCCTCTGGATTCGAGGCTTATCACATCCTTTGACAATTACTGAGAAACTGGAAGTTTATTGGAACAGAGAATAGAGACTGTATAGCAAAGTGTTGAGCAGCAAGATGGAAAAGACTGTATTTGATGTTTTCTGGGTTTAACACAAATACCTAAGTATGCTTGAGCATCCTCTGTGAAGCCGCAGCTGGCAGACTGATTGCCTTCCTACTTCATCATTAGTGAGTATCTCTGCCAGTTAGTTAAATAACTAGGTCAGCCTGGGAAAAAAAAGTTCCTTGATCTTCTGTGCTGTCCCTCCTGTTTTCCCACGTGTTTCTCTTTATAGCCCATTTCTCAGCTACCCAAGATGGGAGGGTATTTGCTTTATCAGGTGTAGAGCTGTGGGAGAGAGGCAGGTACCTCTGCGAGTGTGGCGGGGATGGTGGGAGCATGGGGGGGGGGGTTCTCTCCAGGTGCCTCAGAGGCCAGGGAAGAGCCATGCTGATGTGCTGGTTTAGGGTTTCCCCATTGCTCTCGACTGGGGAAGGGATGCACTTTGCAAAGCTGCATCATCATACCCTCGGTGGGGAGGTGCTGGTGAGGGCAGGGAGCATGACTGAGTACCCAGAGGCTCTGCAGCCCGCACCGCTCCCTGCCCAGCACACCAAGGAGACAAGGATGAGTTGGTGCAAATCCAGCCCACAGAGCTGTTGACAGGGTGGTTTTTTATTGTGCGATACTTCCTCAATGACTGATCAAATCTCCTTTATTGTGGCCATCGAGCTGCCCGTAACAGAGCCTTGATGATGTTCAGGACTTGGAGAAAGTTCGTGCTCCTGTTGCATGAATTCATATTGCAATTGCCTGATCTGATTAGATTACTTATTTCCAATCTATACATGCTCTCCATTTGAATGAGCAATTCGGGCTCTAGCCCCGAATTATTCTTGGCTGAAAGTCTGGCTGAAAGAGGCAGTAGCATACAACACGCATTGCAGCTGTCTATAGTCTGATCTTGACAATATCTCCAGAGTTTCACAGTTAATATTACAGACAAATAAAGAACTAACGAGTAAAGACTGCCATGTGTTGCTTTACCCTTTTCTGAAAAATTTGTTCTCCTATTATGCTGTATCACGTCATAAGCATTTAGTCCTCTGTCTACTAATTTAACCAGGTTTGAGTCAAAATCTTTATATATGTATATGGATGGGCTACTTATCTTAGGCTCTCCCTGCCTTAACTACTCTTTTTTAGGATTTCTTTTTATTCCCTCTTTCTGCTAAACCCAAGAGCTTTTCCTCCTGGAATTTTCTAACAGCAGCAATAAGCTGTATTTTAGTATTAATAGCTGGTGCTGATTATCCCATCATTTGTCAGTGCCATACATCCTTAGTATGAAGATCTTAGCATTTTTATATGAAATTTTAATAGTTCAGTGGGGAGGCATCCCATTTGTTGCATTTAGCGACCAGTTTCTTTTCTTACATTTTTATCATTGTGTCCTTCTTTAATAAGATTTTAGGTTTTTATGAATATAGCTGCCTTTTTAAAGTCTAAATGCCCTATAATAAAACATTTCTCAGAGGACAAATTATTTGGTAATAGTATTTTCAGGCTTCCATCTGAAAATGAATACCATACCAAAAATGTTGGGCTCATCCCTTATCCATTAGATTGCCAAAGGAACCAGGGGAGCTGGGTGACTGCACACAGGGGATCCCCACAACCACACTGCTCCCTGACAGACCCCCCATATGAGGCATATTTTGGCCAAAGCACTGTACCATGTCTGAAAAATGCCTGGACATGAGATGACAAATGATGTTTCCCTGCAGACAGACCAGTTCTAATAGCTTTTCTTAAATGACATTTCACCTGTTCTGTCTCAGCAATGGAATTCATAAATATTTTAATCATTCATGACCCCAGAGCTAAATTCCAGGCTGAGCTATCTCCTGCATGTGTGGTAGTAGGGAAGATGGGCTGACTCCCCGCTGGGGTCTCCCCCCTTGCCCCGACCCCTGCACGGACCCGCTGAGCGTGCCCTGCAGGGCAGTGGTTTGCATTACCTGGAGGAGCTCTGCTCACAGCTTAATCACCAGGCACCGGTCAGCAAACTGCACCCAGCCCGACTGATGCAGATAAATACTGGTGCAGATTTCACCCCTGAGTAAAATCAAATTGACTATGAAGAGATATTTTCAAAAAACGGTGATGGCCAAGAGGCAGATGTTCCTGGGACACACAGAACATCACTTAGCCCATCCCAGCACAGATGGAAGCAGCAGCAGCAGCATGCACCCCAAAAGACGTGGTGATGGAGAAACAAATGAGTAGGAAACACTCAGTCTGTGATTTTCTTCATGCTCCACATTCTCTACCTCCTGAAATAAATGTAGGGGTTCAGGTTTCAGGATGCTTAGCAGTACATCAGCATGGGTAAACCAGTGAGCAGGAGCCAGTTTGGCTCTGTGACAGAGGGGTACAGGGACCATTAGCTAAGTTACATTTGTGCAAAGCAGACTGCTTGTTCCAGCAGCACAGCTACCAATCCCGTGAGCTGGTTAAATCCCCCATTAACCTGTGTGTGGTGGTGTCTCCTCTTTGCATGCCACTGTGCAGAAGAGGAGGAGAAGCTCCTTCCCCAGCGGGGCTGAGCCCACTTGCCCGTGGGGCCACCAAGGGTTGTGTCTGGTGTTGAGAGGCCAGCCGCAGTGAGCACATCAGATCTGCTGCTTCTGCTGTTTTTTCTCACATTAAGGAATTGGTTTCAAAGGGATAGAGCAAGAGGAAAATAGTAGGCTGTGGCAGCCAGTCCTGTTTTGGGCTAAGGTGGAGTGGGGGGTGCTTCTCAGTCTTGGCTTTTTGGGAAAAAAATATGCGTTTCATGTAAGATCAAAATGACCATATTCTGGTCACAAAGAACCGAAGCTATTATGTCCTTGGGTGCAAGTTGGCAATGCTCCTGCAGCTGCTCTCTAAGGGCGTGAATGCATCTTTGGTTTTAGGTGTTCCCTTGTCCCTGCCCAGCACGGGCATGCTCACACCTGCCCATGCCCAGTGTTGGAGGGTCATCTCCAGGGGAGCTGGGGCTCCACCACACACAAATGTTTCACAACATAAGTCTTCCCAAATGGCAGAAAGTACTTTAAAAGATGTGAAAGTTCTGGGAAAATACCAAGAGTGAAGTGGAGACTGCGGCTTTTTGCAGTGGCAATTATTTAAAGTGAACTGCCTGCAAAGATTTTGCAGTTTCAAGTGTCAGGTTGCATATTTTGTGCAGACAATATTGTTAATGTGTGAAACATGCTAAAAATTGACCGATAAAAGCACCTGGATATTTCAAACATAAGTAGTGTGTATCAAAATAGATACAGAGCAGATGGCCTGGCTCCCTGCACACCTTGCTGACCAGAATACTCGAGCAACACATACAGCCAAAATCTTGCTGTCTTCAAAGCTGATCACCTGCAAAGACAAGGGTTATCCTCATGCTACCCTTTATCTGTTAGGCACTAATGCTCCTGCATGTGCTAACTAGTATATTCTAGAGGGATAGTGTACCCCAGGCTTCCTTGAACGTGTTAATACCCCAGCAAAGCAAATCACCTGTTCTAGAGCTCAGGATCTCAGAAGTCGGTTAGATTAAAAAAACGGCGAGCTGAAATATAATCGGTGGTGGAAAGAGATCAAAACATAGAGGGCTGGGTTTGCCAACCGGCTCACAGTGCTGCCTATAGCTGATAAACATGCAACAGAGTCTGTTTCTCACTCTTATTTTTACCTTGGACACTAAGACCAAACATTACCGTTCTGCAGATTAACCGGGATGTAAGGCTTTTCATGCCTTGTTGTATGGTTCAACAGATGTGAAAGGGAATTATCACTTCAATATGATATCAAGACTTTTTTTTTTTTTAGCTGATGGTAGATTACTAAGCCTGAATTCTTGTTTAATTTTAGTGTGTTAATTGATGGGATAATGAGCATTGATTATATGTGTTTTGGCTGCGTCATTGCAATTACAGGCTCTGTTTTATTCATGAGCCAGTCCTAAAGAACGCACTAGAGATCTAAGACAGCTTAAACCTCTCAGAAAAAGGCTCTGAATTGTTTGAGTAATGACACTCTTAGATGGAAAATTAAAGGTTCTCTTTTCCCATGCTTTTTAAGATAATTAAAATCCAGGAACAGTAAGGTGGTGAACATCCTTATTCATTAGCCTTCAGTAATTTAGCTTCTACTAAATGAGGAAAACATTTTAATTCTCTAGGCCATCTGTTGCAGTCTCCTTTGCATGTCCTGTTACATAAAGTCTCATCCTGGGTAGTTTTAGCATCAGTATTGTATCATTTCACCTGGAACGATGAGCCAGATGAGATAGTTGAAGTCACTACCTATTAACAGACCACCCTAGGATTAAAATGGCCACTTGGTCTTTTAGGTCAAAGTTATCCTGTCTAGACACCTCTAGGCAAAAGATCCACAGAAAGGAGACCGTGCACAGAGATAGGCAGCGTGACAAGCTGTGTGTTTTCTAATAGCGATATCCATGCCAATAAATAACAAAGTTCATCGGAGCCCTTTCAGTGCCTCTAATGTGCGACTGCTCTGCCATATGGCTCTGTGCTGCTTTTGGAAGCAGGCAGTATCTGTCCGGGTAGAAACCGAAGCAGAGGCCCCAGGCTGGATGCTGCTTTGCAAGCGGTTCGGAGGAAGAGCAGATCTCCTCTTTGCACTGTGCCAGGGGAATAAATATTAGAGCAGGAGCGTGCTCACCTAGGATAAACGCTGGGTCAGCAACTGGGAAACTCGTGGTTTCTGACTCTCTATAAGAACAACTCACTTTATAGCTTGGGACAAGTTACATTAGCCCACACTAGAAATGTTTCCCATTAAAATGATAATGTGTATAGCTGAACGGATTCAGTGTCTTAGTTATTCCTGATGAAAAATTACATCCCTACAGATCTAAGAGGATTCAGGCTTCACTGGTTTGGTTTATTTCTGTCAAATTCTCACATAAAATAAAAGCCACGCTACTTGCCAACCCAGAAGTGCTGCCTTAGAGGGATGTATTTAGCTGGATCTGTGATCACCAGGTAGCATTTACATTATTGATAGGGCATGGCTGCAAGCAGGCTGCTTTCACAGGGCAGAGCTTGAATTCACCTGTTTGCTATTACTCGAGTTGCTTAGAGATCACAAACACCCCAGCCTCGAGATGTGTGGCTGCAGAGCAAGTGTTCCCAGTACAAAGCAGTACTCAGTCAGCCAGCCAGCTCCTGCTTCCACCAAAAAAAGCCCTTTGGCTGCAGCAGGCATGCCCAAGCGGTAAGTCATCACTTTGTTCTTTGCATCTCTGGTGATCTGCTGTTTGTCTTGAAATTCATTATCTGGATGTATTTGTCTCTATCATAAGCAAACTCTCCTGCTGTTTGTTGGCTGCTCTGTAATTAGTTTCCGGCACTTTAGCAAAAGTAAGCAGGCTTTAAGCTTTAATAGAAAGCAGAGAGGTGCTTCTCACAGATGTAAGTCCTGCTAGAAATAAAAGCTGCGTGTCTGCTCCAAACTGGGAGCACTGGTGAGTGGGGGATGACAGACTCCTCTGCAGTTCCTTGGGGATGGGCTTAAAACTGAGAAACTTCCTAGAGCTTTTTCATGTTCTGAAGAAATTACTTGAGGGATGTTGTAATACCCTTCTCTTAAAATTATTTGACAAATGCCTTTAATAACAATTCCAGGCTACTTGCTTAAGTGAAGAATTAGGGCCTGTGTGATGTCGTGTGCCACTTGTAAAGGTTATTTTCATTTCCACTGAAGGAAAGCCAGTCTCCTTTAGGGATCCTTGAGTTCCTGAGGGATTAAACAAAACAGAAATGAGCAAACTCATTCATGGAGAAACTATCTATATATATGTATACACACAATTCATCAGGTGATAACTGTGTCTCTTCTCTCTCACTACCAGCATACCTATAGCCAAGCAGCTGGCATCGATAAAAGGTAAGGAGACCCATTTGTTGCCCCTTGGGGGTTCAGGTCATCTAAGGCCACAGCCCAAGTACAGTAAATCCTGGTGATTTTGCAGAGCTGTGGAGGCTGTGCAGACGGTCAGACAGTGCAAGATGAGAGAGTCTTGTGGGTCCCTGTGCTGTGTGCTCCTGTGTTGATCCATGACTCTTTTTGTGCTTGCCTTTCTGTTAAAAATCACACCCAAGTCATCTGCGGTACCTGATGCTAGCTGGGGGCTGTGAGTGCACAGTCTTTGGGATGTGGCTTAGGAGTGGCGGGAATGAATCCAGCCAAAATCCCAAGTAGACCGTGATGCTGAAGTGCAGCGCTGATGCTCAGGCATGGGCATTTCTGTTCAGTCAGGTTTCCCAAATGGGCCATGTTTTCCCTGGTGCAGGATCCTGGGAGTCCAGACGCACCCAGGAGGTGGCCAGCATGGCCTGTCCCCGTGGCGTGGCAGGTCCTTGCTGGATGCCCAGGGTGGGGGTAGACCGGACGGGTCTCACGTGTCACCCTGCATTACTGCCCCAGCCCCGATGGAAAGCTTGCTTTTGGGGTGTGCTTCCATGAGATGTGAGGCATGTTGCTGGCCCACTCCAAATAAAATCTGGGCCAGGTCCTCTGTGGGTATAAACAGTTTCAGTCTCATTAACTTTAATGAAACTACACAGATTTCCACCCACTCAGGATGGTTCTGAAGGATTCCTTTCAATTATATCTCAAATGCCACTTTTTCTCATAGGCTGATAACTTCCCCTCCCCCATCCCCCAGCTCTAGGAAAAGGCTCAGACCTTGAAAAAGCTTTTGCTACAGCGGCTTTGGTGTATAACAACTCTGCTGACCCCGAGGGCAAGCTCAGCAAAGCTGAAACCAAAAGCTTACTGCAAACCCAGTTTTGGGGATTCATACAGGTGAGGGGGTTTGGGTGAGCGGGTGGCACTGGGCCAGCACTGACCGAGTGCTCTGGGTGTGGGAATGGCACCTCGGGCTCTGTCCTGCAGCTGGGTGAGCATCGGTCCATGGGGTAATCCCAGGAGAGGCTTCAGTGATTTGGTACAAACATCTTCAGTGAATTAGTTGCTTTATGTTGAGCCTAACATGTGGCTAAAGAAGAGGGGACAGCAATAAACCATAGTTGGTGTGCCTGCTTGCATTTATTTAAGAAAATAGGGCAGCTGTGAGGGGAAAAAAAAAAAAATCACCAAAAAACCCCCACCAATAAAAAAAAACCCTCAGAAGATGGCAAGAGGCTGTATTTATGAAGAGGAGAAACCCATAGTATTTAATGAGGCATTTGGTAGTTTGCCAGAGCACTGACCCAGTGCCAGGAGAGCCAGCCCCGTGCCGTGGAGCCACATGCGCTGCGGTCACTGGTGGGGCCCCTGGGAGAAAGGGAACAGGAGGCACCTCTCCAGCGGTCACCCACCCGGGGTGTCGGTGGCAGCCAGGTATGGTGAGGAACAGCTATATCAGCATTTGTGGCTATAAACCTCCTGCAGTTGTTGGGTGGTTTTGTTTTGGTTTTTTTTTTTTTTTCCTCTCCCTAAATTAAAAAAAAAAAAAACAAGAAACAAACAAAAAAAACCAAAACACAACAAAAACACCACCACCACCCCCCCAGTTTTATCAAGTAGTCAAAAAAACTGTGTAGGACTAGTAAAAAGAGCTCAGCTAAGTAAAGGAGAGAGATGGTTAGGAGCAAAGATATTCTTGACGATACCTTTGCTTCCAGGAATAACAAAATCAAATGACGTTTGGGGCGGGGGAATTGGTACCAACTTAGAAAATAGGCACCTTATGGAAAAGGACTTGAAAATATCAATAGCCAATCAAATTTGGAATTGTGAGATGTTTTGAAGATTATTAAGCTAAAAAAAAATCCTCAAACTCTTTTTTTTTTTTTAATACGGAAATATGAATAACAGACATGATACGTAATTTTAATAATCCCTTCCATTCCAACAATAATTTCCAACATGACAGAGAATAGTAGCTACTACATAAGAGAAGTTATGTCTGTAAAATCAACAGCTTCTGAAACCCCCACAATATATATCTGAGGACCTGTCTTGAGTATTCAGGTTAGGAGCATGGTTTGCTTGGTTGTTTCCTGTCCCTGATTTTATCAAGACACACATGACTAGGTGTCTTCTTTTAAAAGATGTATACTTTAGTCTTGTAGAAACTTTGAGGACTGGTTGTTCTCCTGTCTGATCGTAATATTTAAGTTTGAGTTTCCTGGGATACCTTTAGAAAAACTAATATGAATGTGGACATAAAAACCTGAATGAGGAGATAGAAAAATACATGAATTTTTACATAGGTGTCTGTATTTTTTTTTATGATGATGCAATAAAAAAGGAACTTCATGCTTAATTTTTTTTTTTTTCATTTAAAATTCTCCATAGGGCCAAGAAAACAAACCAAAATATCAGGAAATAATTTCTGCCCTGGATGAGGAGTCAGAGAACAAACTTGATTTTGAAGATTTCATGATCTTGTTAGTCAGTCTCACTCTAATGTCTGATCTGCTGCAGGAGATCAAAAAAGTGAAAACCACAAAATGACCAGTGTTTTAGAAGAAGAAATGTCTTGGCACTTTATAAGGAAAGCAGGAGAAAACCACACACAGAGATAACACCAAGTGCCTGGATACCTTGTGCTGGTCCCTTTTAAATGGAATAAATTCTTGTCCAAACCTGGCTGAACTGAACTCCTCTGTAGAAACGATCTATCGAGTGTAATGTTGGTGCTCCAGGCTTCGTGTCTGCCACGTACGTGCTTTGGGAGGGTGTGCTGACTGGCTCCCAGTGGGTCCCAAGGCCCCAGCACCCATTAGTAGATGGGTGCAGCCCCCAGCCCAGCTTAACGCCAGGGAAAGGCAGCCCATGCTCTCCCAGACTTCTCCATCATCTCCCCCACTGTTGTGGGGAGATGATGGGGAGACTGCTGCAAAAACGCGCAGCCCCATCTCTTTGGGGCAGCAGCACACAGAGCATGGCTGGTCAGCAATCCGGGGCTCTCCCAGTTACCCCAGGGTGCTTCAGTGCTGAGCAGACTGATACCAGTGATGGGTTTCACAATGGGCAGTGACTGCAAAATCTGTTGCAGTGTTTGGTAAGTGTTGACTTCAGTCTGAGTGGTTTCCAACCCATAATTAACCCTTCTGAAAGGAGCGTTTATTTATTTTTATTTCCTCTTTCAGCTAACCTCTTAATTGAGTGATCACTATGGAAGGAGTTTCAAGTCCAGCATTTGCAGTCCCTCTTTGGCAGTGCTGTGCTTGTGTGACCAGAGGGATGACTTAGTTAAACATGTCAGTGAGCTGAGTTTGTTGTTTCATGAAACTGTGAAGAGGAGAAACCAGATAAACTAAGAGGTGGTCCAGACTAGGGTTGGTAGGGAAAAAGGGTGACCAACAAAGTGTTTGTAGTAGAGCTGAGTGATATTGGCTGTCCAGTCATGAGCTTGGTTAGGGCCAGAACCTCAGCATTAAATGTTCATCATCTTAATCTTTGTTTTGATTGCTACCTATAAGGTCCTATCTCAGAGCCAACATTTAGTCCACTGTGACATCCCTTTGGGACACAAACAGCAGTCTCACACCCCAGGAACTGAATATCCTCTGTAAGAACTTAACAAGACTCTACCAAGACAGTTAATATGAACGAGCCAGCCAAACATTGCAACACTTTTCATTTTCTCTTCTTCCTTTTCTGGAAAGGAATGATTTAGGTTTGGTGCATCATTTTTTAAACAGGAAGGGATCAAAACCTTTTGTATGAAAAGAGGGAAATTAATGCCAGCTGAGTAGCAAGATTTAACTTGTGACATAAAAAGTCTCTTTGTGTTTCCAGAAGCCAAGAGGCTGGTTTGTAATGGATTTTGGTACAAAGGAAAGACACATGGCCAGCAGCCAGTTGCTTTGAGAGGGAAGGTCTGTGTCTTTGTGTGGTATGGGATGGAGCTGAAAGAAGAAATGCAAATGTATATGGTGGGATTTGAAATGGAGCTCGGCAGGTAAGGTGCTGTTCCATGGGGTTTGAACCTCAGCCAGGACATAGCCTGGCCTTGGAGGCTAGACATTCACAAATGGTCTTCCTACAAATAAAAACTCATAGTAGCCAAGTCCCTTGTTCTGATGGTGGGTTGCAAGTATAGGCAATATCAAATGAGTTGTCCCTCCCACATACCTGCCACTGAGGGACCGGTGGCCCTGTCCTGTGAGGATGACTGCCCCCAGGGTGTGCACCTCAAATCTCCCAGAGATAGGATATGGGAGCGCAGGGATGGACAAGGAGGGAAAACGTCTCATGGAGGTCTCTTCTGGGCTTGTGTGTTCTGAGGTAAGTGGACCTTGGCCAAGCATCCTGGATCAAAACAAGGACTTAATCTGGTAGCCTCATCCATGCAGATTTCACAGCTTCATACTGATAATGTGTCCCTAGTTTTGCTCAGTCTCTTTCCCCTTGTCTTTTGGCCTGGTAGAAGATCTGTGAAAGCTTAAAAAATCAGCTGATACTCCTTTTTCTGCAGTAGAAAAATGGATTGTATGTGAGAGTCCTTCGAAGGATTTCCCATTACTAAAGTAAAGAAAACATGACACACACCTGAAAAGCTTGCTTGGGAGCCACTGGTGACTCTGAAAGCATACATTTCCTAATATCTCTCTGTTACAACAAAAAGCTGAAAGGAATAATATTGTGAAGCCAATTAAGAAAGAGTTCTTTGAAATGCAAAGTCCCTACCACAGTTTCTGTTATTGCTGAAATGTTTCTTAATCTTGTATGGCTTGAATTAATGACTTAAGACCCTTTTATCAGATCAATTCACTCTGTCATCTCATCGTATGCAAAGCCTTTTTATTCTAATTCAGTGTGTTGTGAGCTAGCATCCTGAGTCCCTGAATTTGATCAAAAGCCCATTGTGCTAAGCAACAGTGGAAATCCAAAGTAAGAAGCAATTCCTGGACAACTCAATAGCAAAGATATTCAAATGATAGGGAAGGAATCAGAGGCACGGAAAAACCAAGTGCCTTGCTCAGCCATGTAGCAGAGCTGGGACTGGATGCCAGTCTATACTGGGCTTCTGGCACAGAAGATCATGGCTTGCCAAGAGGCACTGTGATGGTTTCTGCAAGAGTTTCAGAACAAAGTGAATAGGATGTTCAAGGTTTGATCTCCATCAGTCCTTGAAAGTCCCGCTTGATGTTCAAAAGCAGAAGGACACACTTGGAAGAGCCCCAGAATCCTCTTACAGTTAGGAGTAGGCAGAAGTTTGCAGCTCGGCTGTGGAAGATGCTCTTTTATTAGCTCAGACTATTTGTGACTGCCCTGAGCACTCTCAGCTAACGGCTTTGAAGCTGATCTGGTGTAGACAGCATGTCTGGCTGCGTCCTTGGGGAGCTGGCTAAAAGCTTGCTTAAAAGACTACTGTTGTGCTTTATTTTGTTCCTAGCTTGCTCCTATTGGAAGCAATGAGAGTTCATCATCGATTTCTCATAGCAGAACCCACTCAAGTACTAAGGAGTTGAGCAGACAGCTAAATTGATGAAATCTGCAGGCTCTTCTACCTCAGCAAGTGTGAACATCATATCAATATCCGATAAGCCCTAGAAGTAAAGGCAGCATGAAGAGCAGCTAGTGAAAACCTGACCTCTCTGGTCTTGGGGTTGGGTTGGGGTTTGTGCATCTACACTGTCCAGGTGTGAATAGCCACCCTGAGAGGCTCTGCAGACTTTGGATCTAAGTTTAAAATTCTGTTCTGGAAAGTCTGAGTCATCTCTGCAGTTACATGAGCTTTCAAATGACTGTCAGAGGAGAAATGGGGGTCAGGGAGATCTTCAGCCTCAGATCTTCAGCTTCCATTTCCAAATATCAACTCAGGAAGGCAAGTTCATTCTCATACTTTAATTAGTACACATAAAGCTTCTTCCCATGACTTTTTATTTCATATCTGGCTTTAACTCTGTGGCCTGTTGGACTTGGAAGGTTTTGAAAATCTGGCTTTAGTCCAATTTCTAAGGTGCTCTCCCATCCAGTCCACCGACTTGCAGGAGGTGAGTCACTGCAGTTTTTCATGCTGAGCTTTCTGCTGGGTCCCTAGGGCCGCACGTGTTGTGCACGCAATTTTGCATAAATATTTCAGGAAATAGAATTACCCTGCCCCACTATCTTGCTGTTATTGAACCTTCAGAAAGACCTCCTGTCTGGGGCACCAGAGCCTGGATGCTGAGGAAACCTTGCAGTCTGAGACAGTTTGCCTGTCTCCTCCTCCCTCAAAGTAAGTGTTGTGTTACTTTTTCATGTAAAATAAAACTTGCCTTGGTTGCACACACTTTGCAAGTATGTGTGATGCACATCCCCATTGTGGTACTTCCATGTGTTGTAGCCTATCTTGGCAGCTGCTTGCTATAGCCATTCAAGTGGTTACTGCAGCAGGTCACTTTGCAGAGAGAGGTAGAGGTTTGCATCATAGCCTGCCGAAGTAGAAGTTAAATTGTGGCTATATGGTAGGAAAACCTTCTTCAGGAGTGTTGGAATGAGTCAGAAAGATGCTATGTGCATCCCCTTAGGAGTTCCCTACAGAGCAGATGAAAAGCTTTGTCCCAGAATTATGTTCTCTCTAAAGTGTGATAGTTTGTGAGCCACAAAGGAGCAATCTAAAACACCTCTTGGAAAAAAAGAAAATACCTTTTTTTCATGCTCAGTCAGGGAAGCTAGATAAAGAAGAGATGGTGTTTTCATGGCTCTCTGAACTGCCAGCTTTTAAGTCCTGCTTTGACTTTTACTGTAGCCAGTGGTTTACAAGGTTTCCAGTGAAGCTGTGTCTTTTCTCCTCGGTTTGTTCATTTGCTGTTGCCTCACCCCGCAAGTGTTTATAGCCCTAGTTCCGAGTCCTCCTCCAGCAAAGGTAAACACCAAATGATGTTCAGCAGCCAGATATATCAGGCTGTCTCTCTAATCCCCAACTGCACAAAACAGCCATTAGACTTAGATAGTCTCAGAGCCATGGGTCTTATCTTTTATTCATTGTTATTGTAGGAGTGAGTTTATGCTATGCATAGCCATAATGAGACTCAGTCCCAGCATCCAGTGCATACAGAGGAGCTGAAACCGTGATTCACCAAACTGAACATAAAGAAACTCATGGGATCGACCCCAGCCCACCACTGGGTGTCTGTAGCAGAAGCTGGTTGTGCATATCTGATGTAGTGCCTCGATCATCATTCCTGCCATGAAAAGGTCCAAAAAAATCCAACTTGGAAAGGATCTCCTGTGCAGAGAATCACGTGTGGTGCTTGGTTCCTCCAGGCCAAAACGCAAATTGGGTTTTATAGCGAACGAGTGCTTAATGACTTGCCAAAGCACCAGTGAGTCTCAAACAGGACCTAGAGTGCCAATAGCCTCTGGGCAGGTAGGGATGTCCGCTGCAGCCCAAGCTGTCCCCCAGATGATAGCTCCTCATGTGATGGCAGCACAAGCTGCAGCTGCTTGCATGGATAGGTAGCACCATCACATTTCTGACACCCACAGTGAAACCCCTGGAGCCAAGGAACCAACTTGCATTTGTGATTTCCTCTTTGTTTCATTCCCTTAGTCATGACCCAGCTTTCTCGGTTGCTATCTGATGGATCTTGATGTCTAGAGAAACACAAACCACAGCACATACTCTTGTGAAGCTGCTGCTGAAATACGT